ATTGACTCGATGGCAGTGAGATGGTTTGGAGACTGATTTCCCAAGAGATGTGTATGACACAAGTCCTCACTGAATGTGGGCTTCCTTCTCCCTTGCCTTCTTTAAAGGTTTGTTGTATCAGATAACTCTATATTTTTGTTTTTTATATTTTTCTTCACATTTATATTTTTGTGGGACTGTTGTTCTTAAAAGAGATAGGAATTTTGTAATTTTAGAGTTTGCTTTCTCAAAGCAATCAAATAGGTTTCTACAATACTGCTCATTGGTGTGATTTTCAATGCTGCCGGTTCTATTTTGAAGGGTTATAAAATCTTTTGTGTATATTTTGGTTAACTTTAAGGTCTGGAGAATTGAAAAGGAGCCTGCCATTATTCACGTATCTGCTTAATATCTAAATACTTACTGTGTGTATGAAACATTAGAAATCTGAGGTAGTGGAGCATTTTGCCTCTAGTTGGGGAGCCAAAAACACAGGTGTAAAGTTATGTAGGATTATTATGAAGCAGCATGGAAGAGGAAACATGTTTATGGCACGTTACAGAGTGCTTCCACATACTTTTGAGGCGAGCAGGGCAAGTGCTTTGTCCTTGTTTTATAGATGAGGAAACTGAAGAAACTGCTGAGTATCAAACATTAGTCTGTGGCCAAACTGGCACCCACGCCTTATTATTCCCAGCTGTCATTCCATTGTGGACAATAGAAGGGTGAGGTTAGGGAGGGAGGTAAGTTTGAGCCAAGCTTTGAAGGAAATAATGTTGATGAGGTAAAGGCTGGCTTCCCCTGCTTCATCAGAAGGCCTTGTCAGAAGTTCTCAGGCTGTTCCCAAGGCTCACCCAGCTACTCACCCTATTCTGAAGCACCTACCTCCCTTGATCTCTCTCCCTCCAGCTGGAGTGTGTCATGGGGTGTGACACCAGCTGCGTGGATTACTTGATATTAAACAACTTGTTGGCTTACGATTTGTCTTTGCGGCCTGGCCACACCACCACATCACAGTGGCTGACATGTGAACAAGCAGGGCTGGCAAGCAAGATGTGGGGCTCTTCCTGGTAGAGTCTTTGAAGGTAGCAAAGCAGGTGTGATCAGCTGTGATGATTACAGATGACCTTACGGGATAGGCGTGTGGGCAGAGCTATGGGGCATCTCCGTGCTCCATGTGCGATTTACCATTCTTACCGTGTCCAAGGACCCCGGTCCACAGGAAGTGCTCAGTATTGGTTGAATAATATTTTTCCAGCTTTTGTGAAGAGATAGAAATGGGATATTTCCCCCCTTTTAGTCTTCCTTTTTTTAATGTGAAAATACTTCGTAAAGAATATCATCAAATTAGACTCAGCATTAAAAAATTTTAATTTTGGATATTGTGACTATAAACATATAGTTAGGCCATCCTTAATTTAATTCCATTAGCCCTAGGTTAATATCATCTTGGTTATTTCCGGTCATATTCTAAAGACATTTCTTCAAGGCTGTTCCTCTGAAGGATTGAGGATAAAAGCAACTGAACTTTGCTTAATTGACTAATTAACATTTTAAAGGGCACGAAAGGTCACAGCACAGGAGGTGCAGTTAATTTAGTGAGCATTTACAAACTGCTTTTCTTTGCCACTTCATTTCAGTGTACTGCAGTATGTTTAAGTCATTCTGTTTGGAGTTACAGCTTGCTCTCCTCTTCCTTCCGCTCTGCCTGTCCTGTGTGGGTTTGCTGTGCCAGTGTCTTTTTGACACAACTTTATTCAGCACTAGGTTTGTGCAAAGCCTGGGGCCAGTGGGGCCAGGAACACAAAGATGAGTAAGAGGTGTTCGGTCCCGAGTTGTCATTCAGGGGAATACCATGAAATGAGAGACTGAACTGTGCTGAGGAGACTGAGGTGGTGGGGAGCTGGGAATCCTGGAGAAATCGGTGTTTTTAGTGTTGATCTTTGAAAAAGTAAGAGGAAGGGGAGGAGGCTTGCACTCTGCAAAAAACCCCACCCAACCCACTACCTTCAAGTTGATTCTGAATCATAGTGGCCCTATAGGACAGAGTAGAACTACCTCACAAGGTTTCCAAGTTTGTAATCTTTATGGAAGCAGACTGTCACATCTTTTTACCATGGAGCCACTGGTGGTCCAACCCCTGACCTTTTGGTTCACAGCCAAGAGCTTGAACCACTGCACTACCTATGTTCCTGCTTTACTCTGTGCCAGGCCCAGTTTTAAGAGCTACAAGTGTGTCAGTTTATTTAATGCGTCCAAAAACCAGATGAGGGATATTGTGTTACTATCTGCATTATAAGCTGATGAAACTGACACAAAGAAAAGTAACTTGTCCAAGAGAACACAGCTCAGAATTGGTACTGCTGGGATTTCAACTCAAGAGCTGTGTTCTAGAATCTATATTGTGAATTGCTACACTATACTGAAAGGCGTTTTGAGAAAAGATGAGTAAGGATTATGGACCCTAGCGGGTGGATGAGGAAGCTACAGAGATCAGATGGTGGTGATCAGACACATGGAAGAAGGAAGGTTGGTTGGCTTACGGCCATGTTGTCACAGCCCTGGGATCCCACAATGAAGTGGGTAATTTTGGCATTGTCCGATACAGCATTGGAGGGTGAGGTTGGAAGGCACTGCTTAATAGCTGCAGCAGTGAATTCAGACGTACCAGTGATCATGGAGATGGTACAGGACCTAGTGATGTTTTGTGCTGTTCTACATGAGGTGGTCACGTCGCAGGAGCCAGCTCAGTGGCAGCTAACAACAATAGCACAGCCATGCCTTAACGCTTGCACAGGCTGTATGAGTCCCCATCACTTGTGCTGTCTCGTTTGGTGGAATGTTATATTGGTAACTCAGTGGGCAGTAGTGAGGTTGTTAAGCTTGTTGTGTAAGGGAATCATAATTTGTGCCCTCTCCTGTATGTTCGAGGAGAGTGGTGGTTCAGTGGTAGAATTCTCGCCTTCTGTGCAGGAGACTTGTTGACCTGCGTTCCCTTCCCAGGTTGTGCACCTCACCCACAGCCGCTCCCCTCTGTCAGTGGAAGTTTGCATGTTGCCCTGGCACTTCCAGCCGAGGATGGTCTGGGAAGAAAGGCCTGGGTATCTATTTCAAAAACTCAGCCAACGAAAACCCTATGGGTCACGGTAGCCCAATCCCGTTGTGCGTGGGGTTGCCTGAGTTAGGCCCTGACTCTACTGCAGCTAACAACAGCAACAGCGTGCTTCCTCAGCCTCTCCTGAGTTTTTTTTTTTTCTTTTTTTGGGGGGCATTCATTATTCACTCCCCCAGTTTATAAACATTCTCGGATCTCGGTCCCCTACCTCTTCCTCCTGTGTACAGTTATGCTTCCAGAAAGAGTTTTTTGGAGAGTGCTTGGTACTCACTGTTTCTACCTTTTCTCCTTCTTCTCACTCCATACTGTCCACTCTCCCCCCATAATTCCACTGGATGGCCCCAATCAAGATGTCATTGCTTATTCTGATGAGGATGACTTAGTCTCATATCTTGACCAGTGGTTCTCACCTGGGGGTGATTTTGCCCCCAGAGGACATTTGAGAATGTTTATAGACATTTTTAAGTGTTAAAATGGGGGAAGAAAGTGAAGGTCTCTCCTGACAGCATTGAGAGAATTCTCTTTTTAGTCTTCACAGCCAGGTGGAGTAATTTTTTAGACCAGCATCTCTGCCATTCACATCACTATGGGGCTGGATGTGTTGATTCCAACTCATCCAGCCCCATAGGATGAAGGAGAACTGCCCCCCAGGGTTTCCCAGGCTACACATCTTCACGGGATCAGACTGCCACATCTCTGTTCCACAGAGTGGATAGTGGGTTCTGACTACCAACCTTTTGGTTCACAGCTGGGTGTTACTACACAACCTTTCCCTGCCATAGTTGTTAGATGCTGGTGAGTCGGTTCCAAGTCAGTGATCCTGTGTGCAACAGAGAAGGAAGCACTGCCTGGGCCTGCTCCATCCTCATGATTGTGGCTCTGTTGGAGCCCATTGTTGCAGCCACTGTGTAGATGCATCTTGTTGATGGTCTTTCTCTTTTTTTGCTGATCCTCTTATTACCAAGCATGATGACCTTCTCCAGGACTGGTGCCTTCTGATGACATGTCCAAAGTACTTGAGATGAAGTCTCACCATCTTTGCTTCTAAGGAGCATCTCTGCTGTTAGAGATGACATTTAGGAATGAGGTGGGTCTGTTTGGTAGCTTCTCTGTAGTATTTAGGACAAACTAAATGTGTTAGCTAGTATTCTACTGGCATCTAGTGGATAGAGGCTAGGGCTGCTGCTAAATGTCTTAAAATTCACAGTGTGGTCCCCACAGCAAAGAGTTGTCTAACCCAAAAGGTCGGTAGTTCTGAGCTTGAGAAATCCCAGTCTTCCCTCACACTCTGCTACATTTCACACTCCTCCATTCTTAAAACTTTTCCCTGAGTCGCCTGGCATGATTCTTTCCTGACTTGTCTTCTGGTGAATTCTCAGTTCAGTGCTTATCAGTCTCTGGTGGATTCTTCGATATCCAGCCTTTTTTTTTTTTTTTTTTTTTTAGGATTTGGGTGAAGATTTACAGAGTAAATTCACTTTTCATACAGCAGTTCACATATACTTTGTCTCATGTCATTGACCAAAATTTACAATGCAGCAGATCCCCTCCCACTTCCTCCCCATAGTTACCTCCTCCCAGTGTCCATCCCTTCATACTCTTCGAGAGGCCCATTGTCTGCCAACCCTGTATATGATCTTGGATACACTCTCCATTTAGACATACATAATTGTTTAGCTTGATATCCAGCCTTTTAAAATCGATTCTCCCAGGATTCTTTTCCTGGTCCTACTCCTCACAGTTCTCTTGGGCTGTCTCCTTCTCATCAGTTGAAGGGATCTACCCTTCATCTCTGGGCACATCTCCCCACACCTGTGTTCATAGCTCTAATTATTGCTTTTTTTTTTTTTCCTTTCCCTTTTTGCCATTTTCAATGTACAGTTCAGTGACTTTATGTGTAGTCGCCATGTTGGACAACGATCACCACTATGGATCTAACATGTTTGCATCACCCCAAATGGAAACTCAGAACCCCTTCAGCAGTAACTCCCATTCCCTCCTGCTTGTAGCCCCTGGTAACCACTAATCTACTTTGGTCTCTATGCATTTGCCTATTCTAAATATTTTATGTATATGGGATCATACAATATTGGTCCTTTTGTATCTGACTTTTTAGTTTTTTTACTGTACATAATGTTTTCAAGGAGCTCTGGCAGCATAGTGGCTAAAGCACTTGACTGCTAACCAGAAGGCTGGCGGTTCAGACCCACCAGCCACTCCTCGGAAGGAAGGTTGGGCAATCCTACTTCCGTAGTGATACTGCCTCGGAAACCCAAGGAGGGGTCGCTATGAGTCGGGGCTGACTCGACGGCACATAACAAAAACAACAACGTTTTCAAGGTTCATCCGTGTGGTAGCATGTGTCAGAATTTTTTTTCTCTTTATGGC